GAGTTGGTTCTTCTTTTCTAACATCTATACCATGTGGTTCTTAAAACTCAAGTCATTAGACTTTGTCCAAGCGTCTGTAACCATGAAGCAATCAGCCAGCCCTGTTTTATTTTTAGAGCTGAGGCAAATGAGTCCCAGAGAAGTAGTCAAGTCAAGCTGGAGTGAGCTCCCTGGCAATCTTGCCAGGGGAATGCCTTGATTATTATATCACAAACACCTCACAAGGAAAGCTCTAGGGAATTACTTTGAAAAGAAAAAAGACTCATGAATATAAATCTAGAAAACAAAGTCACAAATAAAAATTAGAAAATTTGTCCTTGAATTGAATATTTCTAGTATTTTTTTTTAATCAGAAGCAGTAGGATTTGCATTCAGTCGAATTTGAAAAAGCCTAACCACAGCCAGTGTGAAGTATTACAACCCAGACTGGAAATTAGAAAGACCTAATAGCTCTTGAAAATTATAAAATCCTTTATAAACCAAATATTAAAAAATAAGTCAGTGTTATTTGTGATATTTATGTCAATGCCTCTCTTCTTTTTGTTTCTTTGAGTTTTAATAATATTCAACCCCTCTTCCAACTTCCTCTAGGTCCAGCCAGCTCTCTTTCCCTAATGACTTAAGTTTGTGTCTTTTTTCCCCCTTTTAACCCGTCAGGTTTAATTTGGGCTGCCCATATAGCCATGGTTGCATGGCCTTACATTTGAGTGTTGTTTACCTACCAGCTGAAACACTCTAAAAGCCTGACTCTATTCTGGAAGCAGCTGTCAGCTGACAATGATTCCATGGATAAGCGTGGGAATTTGTGCCCACCTCCTTTGTTATGGATACTGGGATTTGGTTTAGCTTAAGGTTGCTCAGGGTTTTACATGAAGTCAGAACTACTTAGAGTTTATATGTGCAGCTGCCCTGCTGTGTCCTTGTATTTATTCACTCACCTTGTGTTAATTCTGTCCTTCTGCTGCAATGATCCCTGAAGTCGGTAGGAAGGGGTGCAGTATCAATGCCCTTTTAGAACTGAACATTACATAATCTTTATTCTCTATGCCTTGTCCAGTGTCACTGTGTTAATCACCATCTATGGCAAACAGAAGTTTCATTAAAGAGATCTTAGAAATGTATTAATGTATGGATATAACAATAAGTCATTAGGATTCAGTTTAAAACTATGTCCATTTAGCAGAGTTATAGCAGTAGGTTCTCCATTAGAATCTATGATCTGCCTACCCAAGGATTTCTGGCCTAGCAATAGTGACTCATATTGGTTTCATCGTGGAGCAGGATATAAATTTAACCATAAAAGGGTTGACTATTTCCAGATGTATGAGCCACCAGTGGGAATATCTTGCCATACCATTATTGTAGGGTTCACAGTTGGGTAAAAGGGATCATCACTTTTCTCAATTAGTAGATTCATAGTATCATCTGGCACAATAAACGTTAACGAATACAAGTAAAGCTTCCTGGCCAATACTAGCTTAATATCTCCACATTCTCAAGTATATAGAGTCTTCAGTAGTAGAGTCTTACCATATAATTCTGAAGGGTAACAAATAGTATTGGTAATAGCCAATAAGTTTTTTCTGGGAGGTGTAGTAGAATCTTCCCGGCCAATAACTCTGAAAGTTAAAAACAAAACAAAACAAAAAAACCAAAAAAACAAACAAACAAACAAACAAACAAAAAACCCATTTCTGACACTGAACTTTGCATTTGTCAGCCTTCTGTGACAAGTAGGGGCCTGCTGTCCAATTAAAGGTTGTAGCTGGGGTTGAAAAGGTGTGGTATCAATGACACAGACACCCGGGGGTCAGGTGAAAGGGGAACAGCAGACTCCTTTATTTAGCAATGGGGAAAAGCTTATATACCCTCCCAGCACCCAGGCATTCCAATCACTTGGCATCACATGGTTACCCCTCATTGGCTAGGCATGACCAGGACCCTCTGACAGTGCCTGTTGCTAGGCCCTCAGGCAGAATCATGTGATCACCCCTCATTATCTAGGCACAATCAGGATCTCTGACAGCACCAGACAGACTCCAGGTGGCTCCTCTTGGCCTGGTAGACCTTACTTTCCTAGAAAAGGGTAAATCAATTTAGGAAGCCTCTACAGTGGGAGCTAGATTTCCATGACTTTTGAGAAACATCTTTAATATTATTTTTCCTTCCTAATATTCCTTCCCCTAATCCACCTCCCATTCCCTACCCCAATTTAGCCCTTTCTATTCTATTAATCCCCATAAAGTTTTTAGACCATCGCTTTCTCTTCTACCTTGAAAGCCCCAACTTCCCTGAAGTTTTACTGATTTCTCAATATGTATATATATTTCAAATGAATCATAAATATATCAAGAGTGCAAGTTAACATCCACAAATGGGAAAACTCATGCAAACTTTATCTGGGTTACCTCACTTAAAATGATAGTTTTAGGCATACCTATTTACTTGTATCCATAATTGCTAAATAATATCCTGTTGTATAAACTCATCATATTTTTGTTATCAGCTGATGAACAGCTAGGCTGATTTAATTCCCTGGATATTGTGAATAAAGAATCAATGAACACAAATGAGGAAATATTTCTATTATGGGGTATTATCATTTATTTTATATATACTCAAAATTACTGTAGCCTGCTAATATTGTATATCTATTTTTGGTTTTTATAAGGAACCTTTGCAGGATTTCCACAGTGGTTTTACCAGTTTTTACTCTCACCAGCAGTTATAGGCCTTCTCATTTCCCAACATCCACATCAATTCTTTGACTCTCTCTCTCTCTCTCTCTCTCTCTCTCTCTCTCTCTCTCTCTCTTTCCTTGCTTGCTTGCTTGCTTGATTTTAAATTTGAGCTAATCAGACCAGGATAAAATGAAAACTCAGGAGAGTTTAATTTGCATTTTTTTAATTGCTAAGAATCCTGAACAGTTTAAAAAGGTTTCCCATCCATTTGCATTTCATCTTTTGGGAACTCAGCTAAGTTCTATCCCCTATTTTAAAAGTAAACTTCAAAAAGTATTCAAATTGGGTGTTGAATCTAATGGCATTGAATGTAAAAAATAATGGCACACACACACACACACACAAATCCACAAAACAAAGACTTACCTGTTTGAAAAGATTAACATTATCAAAAACATGTGGCCTAATTAATTAAAATACAGAGAGAAAATCTTGGCTTAATGATCGATGTCTTTGATCCCAGCACTTGGGGGTTGAGGCAGATAGATTTCTGTGATTTGGAGGTCAACCTGGTCTTCAGAGTGACTTCTGGGACAGCAAGAGCTATATACAGAGACCCTGTCTCATAAAACAAAATAAAAAGAACTCAAGAAACTTGCCTTCAAAAGAATAAATAATTCAATAAAAAATGCCCTTCAGAGAATAGGTAAAGAAAATGTGGTACCTTTATATACTGGAGTACTACACAGTGGTAAAAAAAAAATGACATCTTGAAATTTGCAGGCAAATGGATGGATCTAGAAAAAACCATATTGAGTGAGGTAACCCAGACCCAGAAAGACAAATACAGTATGTACTCACTCATAAGTGGCTTTTAGACATAAAGCAAAGAAAAACGAGTCTAAAGTCCACAATCCCAGAGAACCTAGACAACAAAGAGAACCCTAAGACAGACATACATGGATCTACATAGGAAGGAGAAAAAGACAAGATTACCTGAATAAATTGGAAGCATGAGGGTCATGAGAAAGGGAGGAAGGGGATAGGGGAGAAAAGGAGGGTAGCAGAGAAAAATGTACAGCTAAACAAAAAAAAATGAGAGAAAATATCTAAATTGATAAAATTAGAGATTAAAGAGAGACATTATAATAGACACTGAGGAAACTCATAGATTCATAAACATATCATATTTTCGTTATCATAAGTACATTATTATAGAGATGAATACTTTGAATATGTATGGATCTTGGTCTATTGATACAAATTTAAAGTCAATTTTGTTATATGTATATTTATGCTCTTGATTAAGATATTGTGTTTTTGCAACTCATTTAAAAATGTAATGTACAATTAAGAAATACAGGCTGATAGATAGTTATCTATAATAGTTGAGCTTGTAGTCCTGTTAGTACAGAGTCTAGATGTATAGAGATATATTTTAGATAGGTGGGTATTCTTCAAACCTTTCAGAGACTAACAGAATATGGCATTTAAGTTGTTTTAAGAACTTAGGACTTTTCATGACAGAGACGTCTCACTTCTTGGACAATCACCCAAAGTTACTCTGTAGCATTGGGGCATCCATCTTTGCCTACAGGCACATAGTATTAGCAGACTTTTCCATGAAGCAGGAAATTTCAAAGACAGTTCCACCTACATTGGCAGTTTGTCAGTCACTTTCTTCTGTGTCCTGCAGAACATCTGACAGACTCATGAAGCAGGAACCCTGAAGGACTGCCTCATTTTTAGGCAAGTTCAGCAGTCATTTTTTCTGTGGGTCCTGCACGTGCAATCATACAGCATCCAACAGTTCAAGCAAGACCAGTTTCCTGCCCAAGTGGCAAGTAAACTCCATGAGGAGCCTCTTTAATGCCCATCTTCCTCTTGGTGCTGCCAGAATAGATGTGACTCATTGTCATATTTCACCAAACTTGAAAATGTAAAAGAGACACCCAGTATATATGGTGTACCAATGCTGCTACACAATGATGAAACAACTATTTACACAGACATATAGCAATCAATGAAGTAAAAACAGTAACTTAAAAAGATCTTCCAGCTAAAAAAAGCATAGCAACATATGCATTCAACTTAGAAATATAGCAGATATTGAAAGAATTAAACAAATTCTCCTCAATTCAATATATTGTGAGAGGATACATTAGTTCCAATTTGTTTTTATGACTATAGTACCACAGTGATACAAAAATCATACAGTGATTCTGTAATTAAAGAAAAAAAGAAAGAAAATAATTTATAGGAGAGAACTTTTTTTTTTCTGTACTCTCGCTGTTTTGTAACTTCTTTTTTTTTTCTAAGATGGATGGAATGGAATACCAGATGATAAAACCATCACAGTATTGACTGATGTACATACAAGCTCACAAACTCAGCAATGGCACATCAATAACAAGCATAAATTAAGGTAATTGGTGTGAAAAATCCATTCTTAACTGTAGCCTGCCATTGTTATTGATGTTCTCTGATTGAATATGAAAGCCAGATATAAATATCTGTGTGGAAAATGCTAGCAAACACTTTCTCATGTATTTTAATCGAATTATATGTATTCCAGGCTGACCTCCATATCACTGACTGTGCGGCTTTGGTTGGCCTTGAACTCTTAGTCCTTTTGTCTCCACCCTTGTATTTATAACAAAGACTGGCTTACATGGTGCCAGAGATTCAACCAGGTTTATTTTGATTTATTTTATGTCTAAGATATTTTAAGATTCTTTCTGTTTTGTTTAACTTTCCAGTTTTCTATTAGAAAAACTATATTCTACAAAGAATTTTGTGTGTTTCTGGGTTTTGGTGTGGCCTTTTGTGCTTTGTTTTTGCTAAAGACAGGGAGACACAGCATTTCTGCAAACATGTCTTCAGAGTTCCTTTCTACCTGATGTGCTTCATCACTAAGAGAAATGGCAACCCTAACACTGTTTCTCTCTCTTGCTTTTCTGTAGCTGGAGGTTTCTCTCCACCTACCACTTCCAGAAAACCACTCTGAGGCTTAATATGAATTGCAAACTGTTTGGCCTATTATCTTGGGTTTATTATTTAGCTCTTACAACTTATATTAACCCATTTCTATTATTCTATATTTTACCACGAAGTTCATGTCTTGTCATCTCACATCTTGCTTCCCCTGCAGCTGCTTGCATCTCCCTGACTTCTCCAAATCTTTGCTTGGATTTTTCCACCTGACTCTATTCTGCTGGCTCTTGGCCAAATCAGCTTCTTTATAAAACAATGGTAATAAAACATATTCACAGTATACAGAAGGGCAGCCCACACCACGTTTCTTACTCTTGGTGTTGGAGTCAGTTGAACTTCTCTCACTTGATTTTACCAATAAAGTCTAATTGAATACTCAGAAAATGTCGATCCAAAAAACGACTCTAAAGATCTTACTTATAAACACATAATAGAGTGCTATAAAACAAAGACCCAGGAAAGTAGATTTATGCAAATTAACTGTTAAAAGTAAATAAAATTAGACAATTACCTCAACATTAGGAACCAATTTTAAATAAAATTCGAATAATGAGTCCTAATTTTAATTGAATCCCAAGGAATGGGGAGAAGACACATGATTTCTTTGTATTCATGGGAACCCTGTGGAGAAGGGAGCTCTTTGTCTGGTATCACAACTATTGAAAACATCTGACATTCTCAATTGACTTCTTATCTTTCTATTTGTGGAAACATCTGGTGCACAAATTAAGGTAACCATTAAACAGACTTTCAGCTCAGGTTGGCATTCTTTTGCCTAACCTCACAGTGCTCAAAGGTTTTAGATTACTTAGGACAAACAGCTCCTGCTCACCTTAACCAAGGCAGTGCAGATGGGCAGGGACATTTCAGTGTTTTATTATTTCATGAATGCCGAGCTCATTGACGTCAAGAACAGCCAGGATATTGTACTTGAAACTGTTACATGGTATGAATTGTGATCAGGGTTAAGAAACTGGCATGTGTTCATGTGTACCACGACCTTCTGCAAAAGCTCAAGAGCAAACTCAGCCATGCATGTGTGAGCCTGAATTTTGTTGAATAAGACACTGAGGACAGAAACCACTTGTAACTGTTTTTTTTTTTAAATCAAAACTAAGGCTCTTATGTCAGAAAGATGTGTCTTCCTGGGCAGATCCAATGTAGAGATAATCTGTGTTCTCTGTAGACCTCTTGACATAGTCATTGCTTTTTCTTTATTAGCCATTTTTAAAGTAAGCCTTGGTTTGTGTTTCCTTAAACAAATTCTTAAAATTTATAGACATTTCACCATGCCTGCTGGAAACAGTCAGAGACCCATATTTTATTCATATTTTTTTTATCAAGTCTGAAAACTAAGGCACATGTAAGCTAGCTTTAAATTAATATATAAAAATATTTGCAATTCCCTTACCATCACATCTTATATGGAAGACTCTGTAAGATATTAGTAACAATATTTTTTCCTCTTTATTTCTTTTCTTTTCCTGGAAAGTTTTGGGGCACTTGGGGAAAAGGATCTTATTTCCATGTGTTGTATCAGTACTGAGACTTGTCTATTGTTCGAAAAGTAATTATCTAGGAATAAATGTTTTACCTTGTCTTGCAGACTAGTAGTGACTTTCAGGCAAAACTTGCAAACTGGGCAATAATGTGACCCTCTTCCATCGTAGTTACCAACTTTGTCTAACTGAGAAGACAGCATATTGCCTTGACACAGCCATGGATTTTCTCACAGTTTCAACATATATGTGGTGCAGAAGCAGCTCCCCTGGCTGTGCAGGTCTGAGAAGTTTAGGGCTGCAATCAGAGTCTCCTTCCAAGGTCACATAGTCATATCAGAATTCTTTTTATCACGGGGTTTACTACTCCATTTTCCTTCTGACTGAAAGTAGAAATAACTATGGAAGAAATAGTCATTAAAAATGGGAACTACGTATTACCTGGTTGACTGTAACTGGAGCATAGCATTGGTACTAGGCTTTCTGAAGGCTAAAGCTCATAGGAAAATACATTGAGATATGAGAAGAGCACATGTTTTGTCATCAACAACACAAAAACACGGCATTGTGGAGGCATATTTCAGACTAGGACACATGAGGCCTGGGATTTGTGTAAGAACTTGTGTGGATGTCTCTTTCCTTTCATCTCCTGCATTATTTACTTAAAATTGTGTCTCACAGAAGGCATAATTCCAATGCTACATTTTATGCATGAAGAGGTAGAAAAATTTGAAAATTGAAAACCAGGTGTCTTCTTGTGCTCCTTCATTCATTTTCATATAAATCAGATTACAACTGCGGCCTACACGATAAGTTCACATTTCTAACTCATGATAAAATACGGTGAGATGTTACCAATGAGTAGGAAAGTTTGTCTCACATAATCTCTTCCAGACACCTGTCAAAATCCACAATTATAACAATATTTTTAGATAATTGTAATTTTTTTTCTTGAGAAAAGGAAAAAAAAAGTTTCCTCTTCCTCCCATTCGCCTCCCCCTCCTCCCAACCTTCTCCCCCTCCCCACACTCCTCTCCCCCTCCCTCTCCAGTCCAAAGAGCACTCAGGGTTCCCTGCCCTGTGGAAAGTCCAAGGTCCTCCCCCTCCGTCCATGTCTAGAAAGGTGAACATCCAACCTGGCTAGGCTCCCACAAAGCCAGAACATGAAGTAGGATTAAATCCCCGTGCCATTGTCCTTGGCTTCTCATCAGCCCTCATTGTTCGCCATGTTCAGAGAGTCCGGTTTTATCCCATGCTTTTTCAGTCACAGTCCAGCTGGCCTTGGTGAGCTCCCAATAGATCAGCCCCACTGTCTCAGTGGGTGGGTGCACCCCTCGTGGTCCTGACTTCCTTGCTCATGTTCTCCCTCCTTCTGCTCCTCATTGGGACCTTGGGAGCTCAGACCAGTGCTCCAGTGTGGGTCTCTGTCTCTATCTCCATCCATCACCAGATGAAGGTTCTATGGTGATATGCAAGATATTCGTCAGTATTGCTCTAGGTTAGGGTCATTTCAGGTTCCCTATCCTCATCTGCCCAAGGAAACAACTGGGGACATTGCCTTGGGCTCCTGGGAGCCACTCTAGGTTCAAGTCTCTTGCCAGCCCTAAGGTGCTCCCTTAACTAAGAATTGTGGTTCCGTGCTCCCCTATCCAGCCTTCCTTTATCCCAATCATCTTGTTTTCCCAAGTTTCCCCCATCCTCCCCTTCTCACTTTTCTCTCCCCATCTCCCCTTACCACCAACCCACCCCACCCCCAAGATCCCACTTTTCTCCCAGGCAATTTTGTCTACTTCCCATAGGCAAGAGGATAACTATATGTTTTTCCTTGGGTTCACCTTCTTATTTAGCTTCTTTAGGTTCACCAATTGTAGACCCCGTGACCCTTATTTATGGCTAGAAACCAATTATGAGTGAGTACATCCCGTGTTCATCTTTTTGGGTCTGGGTTACCTCACTCAGGATAGTGTTTTCTATTTTCATCCATTTGCATGCAAAATTCGAGAAGTCATTGTTTTTTACTGCAGCGTAGTACTCTACTGTATATTCCACACTTTCTTCATCCATTCTTCCATTGAAGGGCATCTAGGTTGTTTCCAGGTTCTGGCTATTACACATAATACTGCTATGAACATAGTTGAACAAATGCTTTTGTCATATGATCGGGCATCTCTTGGGTATATTCCCAAGAGTGGTATGGCTGGGTACAGGGGTAGGTTGATTCCGAATTTCCTGAGAAACCGCCACACTGCTTTCCAAAGTGGTTGCACAAGTTTGCATTCCCACCAGCAATGGATAAGTGTACCCCTTCCTCCACAGCCTCTCCAGCAAAGGCTATCATTGGTGTTTTTTATTTTAGCCATTCTGACAGGTGTAAGATGATATCTCAAAGTTGTTTTGATTTGCATTTTCCTGATCGCTAAGGAGGTTGAGCATGACCTTAAGTGTCTTTTAGCCATTTGAACTTCTTCTGTTGAGATTTCTCTGTTAAGTTCAGTGCCCCATTTTTTAATTGGGTTAATTAGCATTTTAAAGTCTAGTTTCTTGAGTTCTCTATATATTTTGGAGATCAGACCTTTGTCTGATACGGGGTTGGTGAAGATCTTCTCCCAGTCAGTAGGTTGCCTTTTTGTCTTAGTGACAGTGTCCTTTGCTTTACAGAAGCTTCTCAGTTTTAGTAGGTCCCATTTATTTAATGTTGCTCTTAATGTCTGTGCTGCTGGGGTTATACCTAGGAAGCGATCTCCTGTGCCCATCTGTTGTAGGGTACTTCCCACTTTCTTTTCTATCAGGTTCAGTGTGTTCGTACTGATATTGAGGTCTTTAATCCATTTGGACTTGAGTTTTGTGCATGGTGATAGGTATGGGTCTATTTTCATTCTTCTACAGGTTGACATCCAGTTGTGGCCGCACCATTTGTTGAAGATGCTTTCTT